GGATGATGTTTCTGAGGGTAGTGGCGATGATGATGATGATGATGATGATTATGGTGATGCTGACGATGAGGATGATGATGATAATGACGATGATGAAGACGATGACGAAGATGATGACTATTATGATTCTGATGATGATGACGGTAATGCTGATTCTGATGATGATGATGACGATGACGACGATGATGGCGATTATGTTGCTGCTGATGGTGATAATGATGGTGATGAGGGTTATGATATTGTGGGTGATGATTGTGATGATGATGACGACGATGATTATAGTGCTGTTAAAGATGATAGTTAGGATGATGACGACGATGAGGATCATGCTGATGGTGTTGATGATGATGCTATTGTTGATGACGACGATGATGATGATATTGAGGATTCTGGTAATGATGGTGTTGATGATGATTATGATGATGCTGACGCTGATGATGATGCTGCTGATGATGATGATGATACTAATCATGATGATGCTGATGATGACGACGACGATGATGCTGATGATGCTAATTCTAATGATGATGATGAGGGTGCTGAGGATGATGACGATGACGATGCGGATGATGATGGTGATGCTGATGGTGATGATCGTGATGATGCGGAGAATTTCTTGTATTGGTGATGACGATTTTGATGATGATGATGATGATGCTGATGATGATGATGATGATGATGATGATGATGATGATGATGATGATGATACGGAGGATGATTTTGCTGATGAAGGCTATGATGATGCTAATGGCGATGCTGAATCTGGTGATGATCATGAGGGTTATGGTACTGCTGATGATAATTGTGATTCTGATGATGACGATGGGGATGATGAGGACGACTGCATTCACGATGAAGATTCTGACTATGCCGATGATGATGACGATGAGGGTCATGCTGTTGATAATGCTGATGATGATGGTATTGGTTATGATGGTGAGGATGATGATGATGATGATGATGATGATGATGATGATGATGATGATATTGTTGATGATGATTTGGATGCTGATGATGATACTGATGATGACGATGAGGATGATGCTTATGATCATGATATTGATGATGGCGGTGATGGTGATGGTACTGATGCTGATGACGATGATGATGATGATGATGATTATGATGATGATGATGATGATGATGATGATGATGATGATGATGATGATGATGACGACGGCAACGGCGACCGCGACGATGATGAGGATGCTGATGATGATGCTGCTGCTGATGATGATGATGATGATGATGATGATGATGATGATGACGATGGTGATGCTGAGGATACGG